TAATAAACGTCATTATTTTATCGTAAATATCATCTAATATTATTTAACTGTCCTTATTCATTACGGTGTTCAGGTACGTGTAATGATGCATTCATATGATCATTCAACGCTTTCGACATTCTTAATTCTGAATATGTCATCTTGATATATTGTCGAATTATTATCTTGACCTGATAGTCTTGCATAATTCTTAGCACTTTGGGATCCACAATATCCACAAATTTTTAATATAAAACAACGATTTGATGTCATTTATCGACAATGAAATATTAAGGTAGTTCGGCACGTGGAATGAGGTTTACATATGCTCATTGAAATTTTTCAACATTTACCGTATTAATATATTACCTCGATCTGATCGATTATATTAACCGATGCACCGACCACAAAGAACAGAATTTTTTAATATTAAACGACGATTCAGTATTATTTGCCGACCCTGAAATATTGAGGTCCTTCGGTTCGGTTCGGGGCTAAGTCTCGACAATGCAAGACTTACGACTTTCATTCAGTCAATATTTTATCCCCATCTGATGAACTTACATACTTCTAATTATCGCTGGGTTCACTTTGAAAAAAATTCTTTAAGACATAACGACGATCAAATGTTATTTATCCTCCCTGAAATATTGCGTTGTTCCGGTACGTGGAATGAGGTTTACATACAGTCATTGAATACTCTCGACATTCATCTTATCAATAGATTATCTCGGGCTGATATTCTTATACCATTGTACGCATGGCTGGGATCACTACTGAATCAAGTTTTGAAGATATATCGACGAAATTATAATATGTATCGATCTTGAATTTCTACAGTGTTTCAGTACACGGAATATAGTTTGGAAATAAATTTTGAAAAATCTCGACAGCCTCTATATTAATATGTTATACTGATCTGATTTTTTGTATTATTGCATACATTACGGATATCACAATAAACACAACTTTTTGATATAAAATGTTGTTCGAGAATAATTCGTCGACCCTGAACTACTATGGTGTCCCTGTATGTGGAACGTCGTTTACGTATTCTCCTTGAAAATACTCGACATTCACCGTTGGAATATGTTATCCAGTTCTGATGGTTATACAATGGTCTTATTATACGCATAATTCATTATGGTCTTACATAATTCTACGCATCTCGGGAATCACAATGACAATTTTTTTGATTTATAAAGATGATTTAGTATTACTTACCGATTCTGGAATATTACAGTCTTCGGGTGCGTGAAATGAAGTTTACGTTCTCCTTGAATTTTCTCGGCATTCACCATATCAATTTATAATCTCGATCTATTGGTCTTATATTATTCTACGCATTACGTGTTTCTCTACGAACAAAATTTTATAACATATATCTACAATTTCTTGTTGCTCATCAACCCAGAATTAACATGGTCTTCCGGTATGTTTCGGAGCTTACATATGTCAAATCAATATTTTTGAAATTCATTCTGTCAAAGTATCATATCTATCAGCTTGCCTTATATTACACTACGCATTGCAGGGATCAGCTTGGAAATAATTTTTTAATATATAACGACTCTCTAGCGTTATTTATCGACCGTGAAGTTTCGGACCGAAACTTCTGTTCATTCTCAAGTTTCGGACGAAAATTCTGTTCATAGTTATTCCCACGAAGCTCCGATTCGTGGAATAAGGTTTACATTTGTTCCTTGAAAATTCTCTTTAGGCGAGTCAACATAATATATCGATCTGGTGGTATTTTATTTTCTCTAAGTGTGGCTTGGATCACTACGAACACTGTTCTTAATATATAACAACGATCTAATTCTACTTATCGACCCTGAAAATTTACTGTCCTCCGGTAATGCTCGGAGTTTACATGTGTACACCCAAAACTTTCGAAATTCATTCTGTCAAAATATCATATCAATCTGACGACCCTATATAACTCTACGCTTCGCGGGAATAACTATGAACAGAATTTTTTAATATGCAACGATGATCTGGCAATATTCGTTGATACTGAAATACTACCGAGTTCCGGAACGTGGTAAGAGATGAATATCTGCTACGTCAAAATTCTCGTCATTCACCGAAGCAAAATATGCTGATTGTCTTACATTTCTTTACGCATCGCAGGAATCGCAATGAACACAATTTTCTGATGTATAACGACGATTTAACATTATTTATCGACCCTGAAATGTAACGGTCATCCTGTTCGACTCGGGGATTTCATAGGACAAATCAAAATATTCGACATCCATTCTGTCAACATGTTATGTTGATCTGATGTTCTTATATTATTCCACGCATTGTGAGGTTCACAATGAACACACTTACTTCGTTTATAATGATGATCTAATATTATTTATCGACCTTGAATATGAGGGACCTCAGATACATATCTTGGATCAGATAAGATAATTCAAAATTATTTACATCATTTTTGTCAATACGTTATCTTGATCTCTTTGTCATATATTATTCTATGCATCGCAGGGATCGCAATGAAGACAATATTCTATTATATGAATACTGTATATTTGTATGATAATTTATTGTACATATACCCTGAATTATTACGGTCCTCCCTTACGGTTTTCGGTTTTCATATGACAAGTCAAGATTTCCGACATTCATTCTGCCTTTATATTATCTGAATCTGAAACAACAGGTTGCTGTTCATAAACACTGAGATGCATAGAATTATATAAAATAATCAGGTCGACATGATATTGTTTCTGAATAAATGTCGACAGATTAGAATAGACGGAAGTAAACCTCATTCCACATACAGGAACACGGTAACATGTCAGTTTCAGAGACTAATATTAGATGATTTTTACTTTAATATGGTGCTCATAATGAAGTCCGCCAATCTTATAATGACACAAATTCATCTTATTTGAATTGACAGAATTGATGTAGAAAATTTTGAGTGTTCGTATGTGCAGTTCATTACACGTACAATATAATCGCAATAATTCAGACCCTATATGTATTATTAGATGACGTATATGTTAAATAAAATCGTGTTCATAGAGAGCACCGCGATACGTAGAATAATTAAGACCATCATATCGATTTAATACGTGTATGATATATTACAAATGGAATGTCGAATATTTAGTATAGACACTCATAAAACTCATTCCACCTTCGTAATATTTCCGGCTCGTAAATAATCGCTGATAATTATCATCTTAAAAATGGTGTTCATAATGACACCCGCCATGGGGAAATAAATATAAGATCATCATATCGCTCTTATATATGCAGAATGAATATCCAATGTTTTGATATTTGGAAATATGTCTTGATTATTATATGTAAGGCATATTTCCAAATACAGAATTCCGTATTGCTTCAAGCTTGGTAAATAATATTAGATGACACATATGTACAATAAAATAGTGCTTATAGTGAACCCGTAGAATAACAAAAGACCTTCCCATAAGATCTTCAGAACGATATAATATGTTGACAGAATGAATGTTGAAAATTCTAAAGTGTCGCATGTAAGCCAAATTCCACGAACAATAACACCGAAATATTTTAGGCTCAATTGGTAGTATTAGGGGATAGTTATGTTCAATAAGGTGGAGATCAGAGTTATCCACACGACGCGTAGAAAAATTTAAGGCCATCAGATTGATATTATATTAGCCGGAATGAATGTCGAAAATTCTGAATTTTCATATGTTCTACTCAATGTACCGAAACAGTATATTTATAGGCTCGATAAGAAATATTAGTCGACATTTATGTGCAATAAAATGATTTTCAAAGTGAGACCATTTGGCTTTAAATGATATAAAAACATTGAAGAGATATCGTGTGTTTTCAGAGTGAACGTCGAAAGTCAGAGTGTTCATATGAAACGTATAGTTCCTCAGGCTTATTAAACAATATTGTATGAAATATATGAACAACAGAATGATGTCAATAGAGATTCCCACCATGCGTAGAATAACATTGGACAATCAGTTCGATATGATATATTGACAGAATGAATGTCGAAACTTTTTAAATGCCATGTGTAACCCTCATTCCACATAACAGATATTCGATAATACTTCGATTAGATAAATAATATTAGGTGATATTTTTGTACAGAAAATGTGTGTTTATTGTGATACTCGTGATGCGTAGAATAACAAAAGAAGATCTGTTCGATATGATACATTGAACGAATGAGTGCCGAAAATTTTGAATATTGTTGTGCAAATCTAATCACACATGCAGGAACATTGTAATATTTCGGGTCAGATGATTAATATCACATGTATGTACAATAATATAGTGATAATAATGATCCCAGCGGTACATAGAATAATATAAGACCTACATAGTATATTAACAAAATAATTGTCGAATACATTGGAAATGTAGAGCATATTCCACGTACGTAAATGCGTAACATTTCAGGCATGACAAATAGTACTACATGAAATTTATGTAAAAAATTTTGTGTTCAGAGTGATCCCCACGATTCGTAGAGTAATATAAGATCACCAAATCGAAATGATATGTTGACAGAATAAAAGTCAAAAATTTAAAATAACTATTTTTAAACTACATTCCATGAAGGTCCGTAAATTTTCAGGCTACATAAATAATATTAGATGATATTTACGTGCAATAAAATGATGTTCACAGTGACCGCGACGTGTAGAGAAACGTAAGTTAATCAG